GGCGACATCTTCACGCAGACAACGTCCGCGGGCATCTCTGCGCCGAGGGCGGATCGCAACGTCACCGAAACATGGTCTACGGAGGCGAGCGAACCGACATAGTGCGGGAGACAGGCGGCGGGCACCACAAGCGAGAGCTCTTCCAGCTCGACGTCGCGCAGGTCGTCCTCGGTCAAGCCCTCGGCAGGGACGGGGCCGTCGAGCTTCACGAACTTGGCCGAGACGACGCGGGCCTCGCACCGCTCTGGAATGCCGGCGGCACGGGCCCCTGCTACGGGCATATCATGGAGCCATACATGCGTGCTGCTGTTTGCTGCAACGCCCTGGCCCAGTCAAAGACCTTGACAATGGGTGGGGACGTGGGGCCCTGCTACTCGGAGAAGAATTTCTCGATCGCCTCGCCCACGGTGGGAAACCGACGCAGGCGACCGCGCCCGCTGGTGTAGTCGCCGTCACCGAGCCTGGCCACGATCGCTTGCCACGCGATCGCGCCCCCTTTGTGCACGCCCACAAGGTCCTCGGTGGAACCGGGGGCGGACCAGACCGCGTAGCAGCGGTTGTCAGCTGCACCAGCGGGCCGAGCCAAGTATTCGACACGTGCCGCCCCGCTGGGCGGCCGGCGATGGGTACTCTCTAGGATGATGTTTGAAGAGACAGCTTCTGCGTCCTCCGCCGCCTCGGGGGCGGCCTCCTCGCCGCTGGGCGTGGGCCTGGAATAGACCTAGAACCAAGGGGCAGGCTCGTGGATGGCCCTAGTTCTGACCGCGGGCACTTGGCGCGGGGCGGGCTCGGTCCGAGAAAGCTTCAGATCACCCCTTCTACTATCATGACCGCTGTGCTCATCATCATCATCATCATCATCATCATCATCATCATCATCATCAGCATCATCATCATCAGCATCATCATCATCAGCAGCAGCAGCAACAGCAGCATCATCATCATCATCATCATCATCAGCAGCATCATCATCATCAGCATCATCATCATCTTCTTCATCATCATCACCATCGTCATCATCATAATCATCAGCAGCAGCATCATATCATCATCATCATCATTCTCCTCATCCTCATCATCATCATGATCATCATCATCATCATCCTCATCATCCTCATCATCAACATCATCATCATCAGCATCATCATCACCATCATCATCAGCAGCAGCATCACAATGATCATCACCACCACCAACATCATCAACATCATCATCAGCAGCGTCATCACCAATATCACTTGCAGGATCATCATCGTCATCATCATCAAAATCGTCACCATCCTCAGTATCATCACAATCACCACCATCATTATCACCACCACCACCACCATCACCATCACCATCAGCATCAGTTTCAGCATCACCACCATCATAATAATAATAATTATTATAATAATAATAATAAGAAGAAGAAGAAGAATAAGAATAAGAATAAGAATAAGAATAATAAGAAGAAGAAGAATAAGAATAAGAATAAGAATAACAATGATAAATCATCTGGACGAAGGACCCAACCATATGCAGTTGTGGGTACCGCAATTGCGAATGTCTTCTTCGGTGAAGCTCCCTATGGGGCCATGAAACGCTGCACTGGGTGGGGGGCAACGCGTGCGGGCAGTAGCACTGGGGCCGTCGGTGGAGCTCCCTTTGGGCCACGAAACGCTGTACTGGGTGGGCGAAAATGCCAGATTAGGCGTGTGGGACGCATGTGGGCGGTCCCGCTGGGGACTTCGGTGAAGCTCCCTATGGGGCCACAAAACGCTGTATTGCGTGGGGGGGAACGCATGCGGGCGGCCCCACTGGGGCCGCCAGTCGAGCTCCCTATGGGGGCACGAAACGCTGGGTGGGCGAAAATGTCAAACTGTGCTTCCGAAAGGATGCAGACGGTCGCACTGGGGGCTTCGGTGGAGCTCCCTATGGGGCCACGAAGCGCTGTACTGAGTGAGTGAAAATACCAAATTGTGTTTTTGGGACGCACGTGGACGGTCCCACTGGGGGCTTCCGGTGGAGCTCCCTGTGGAGCCACGAAATGGTATATTGGGTAGGTGAAGATGCCAAATGAAGTTCCCGGAACGCATGCGGACGGTCCCACTGGGAGCTTCGGTGGAGCTCCCTTTGGGGCCACGAAGCGCTGTCCTGGGTGGGCGAAAATGCAAAATTGGGCTTCCGGGACGCATGCGGACGGTCCCACTGGGGGTTCCGGTGAAGAAGCTCGCCACGAAGCGCTGTCCTGGGTGGGTGAAAATGAAAAATTGCGCTTCCGGGACGCATGCGGGCGGTCCCACGAGGGCTTCGGTGGAGCTCCCCATGGGGCCACGAAACGCTGTACCGGGTGGGCGAATATGCCAAATTGAGCTTCTGGGACGCATACGGTCGGTCTCACTCGGAGTTTCGGTGGAGCTCCCTATGGGGCCACAAAGCGCTGCACTGGGTGGATGAAACGCAGGGAGGGAGGAGGATAGGGCCACGATCCCTATGGGGCCAGGAAACCCTGTACTGGGTGGGTGAAACTCAGGGAGGAAGGAGGATAGGGCCACGAAACGATGTACTGGGTGGGGGGGACGCATGCGGACGGCAGACCTGGAACCTTCGGTGGAGCTCCCTATGGGGCCACGCAACGCTGTACTGGGTGGGTGAAACGCAGGGGCGAGGAGGACAGGGCCACGAAACTCTGTTCTGGGTGGGAGGGACCCATGCGGACGGTAGACCTGGAACCATCGGTGGAGCTCCCTATGGGCCACGAAGCGCTGTACTGGGTGGGTGAAGCGCAGGGAGGAAGGAGGATAAGGCGACGAAACGCTGTACTGGGTGGGGGGACGCATGCGGACGGTAGTCCTGGAACCTTCGGTGGAGCTCCCTATGGGGCTACGAAACGCTGCACTGGGTGGGTGAAACGCAATGAGGGGAGGAGGGAGGAGGGAGGAGGGGAGGAGGAGAGGAGAGGAGAGGAGAGGAGAGGAGAGGAGAGGAGAGGAGAGGAGAGGAGAGGAGAGGAGAGGAGAGGAGAGAGGAGAGGAGAGGAGAGAGAGGAGAGGAGAGGAGAGGAGAGGAGAGAGGAGAGGAGAGGAGAGGAGAGGAGAGGAGAGGAGAGGAGAGGAGAGGAGAGGAGAGGAGAGGAGAGAAGAGGAGGAACGCGGGGACCGTCTCTTCAAAACGAGGATCCATCACCACAGGATGGTTGGGAAAAAACGGGTACGAATAATTACCCTGCCGACGTACCCAACCCTTGCGTAATGCGGGGCATAAGTACATCAGAATTGCTACAACGGGGGCGATGACGTAACCTGGACGCATGTGATTTTGCGAGCAGCAATCGGAAGGCTCGCAGGCCCCCGAGCAAGATCTAAGGGCTACGTAATAACAAATCACCCCCGTTGGCTTGGCCATGCGCCCGTTGCACCCAACGTATCCCGCAGCAGCTCTTGAGAGCCCCCGCGGGATACGTGTAAGCGCAACGTTATGGCCATCGCCCGGCAGATGGTCTGTTTCACAAATCACCCCCGTTGGCTGTGCCATGCGCCCGTTGCGCCTAACGCATCCCACAGCAGCTCTCCAGAGCCCCCCAGGGACGGCGAGGTCTTGCTCAGATCCCCGCGGTGCCGCACTCCGCAGGACCCACCAACAGCCCTCGAAAGTGGCGACAGCGTCGCAGATCACAGCCCCCCAGGGACGGCGAGGTCTCGCTCAGACCCCCGCGGTGCCTCACTCCGCAGGACCCACCAGCAGCCCTCGAAAGTCGCGACAGTGTCGCAGATCGCAGCCCCCCAGGGACGGCGAGGCTTCGCTCAGATCCCCGCGGTGCCTCACTCCTTCAGGGCCCACCAGCAGCCCTCGAAAGTGGCGACAGTGTCGCAGATCGCAGCCCCCCAGGGACGGCGAGGTTTCGCTCAAATCCCCGCGGTGCCTCACTCCGCAGGACCCACCAGCAGCCCTCGAAAGTGGCGACAGCGTCGCAGATCGCACCCCCCCAGGGACGGCGAGGTCTCGCTCAGATCCCCGCCGTGCCTCACCCCGCAGGACCCACCTGCAGCCCTCGAAAGTGGCGACCGTGTCGCAGATCGCAGACCCCCAGGGACGGCGAGGTCTCGCTCAGATCCCCGCGGTGCCCCACACCGCACGACCCACCAGCAGCCCTCGAAAGTGGCAACAGTGACGGAGATCGCAGTCCCCCAGGGACGGCGAGGTCTCGCTCAGATCCCCGCGGCGCCTCACTCCGCAGGACCCACCAGCACCCCTCGAAAGTGGCAACAGTGACGCAGATCGCAGCCACCCAGGGACGGCGAGGTCTCGCTCAGATCCACCAGCAGCACTGGAAAGTGGCGACAGCGTCGCAGATCGCACACACACACACACACACACACACACACACCAGGGACGGCGAAGTCTCGCTCAGATCCCCGCGGCGCCTCAATCCGCAGGACCCGCCAGCAGGCCTCGAAAGTGGCGACAGTGTCGCAGATCGCAGCCCCCCAGTCTGATTACTAGAGCTCGTCCTCTAGATCGTTCACGCTGGTGACGATGAGGAGGAGCAAGAGAAAGTATGTGTCGATGTCAACTATCGTGATAATTGTCCGTGAACACCTTTTGTCCACAATATGAACGGCCGCGCTGTAGTGTGCGCGGTCTGCCTGGCACGGCCAGGCTCTGTCAGAAAGAGTCCCGCCCTCCCTCGCCTTGAGCCGAGGGTGGCGGCGAAACGGACAGGGCAGACGGGCAGGAGGCAGCTGCTGCTCAAGCTTACTCCTGCGTAGCATTCAGACAGGGGGAAAAAGGTTCTGCCCTGTACCGTGCGCGCAGGCAATCTCTGCGCTCCGTGTGTGCTGCTGGACGAACTTCTGATGGGTCTCGATCTCCTGCTGCAACTTCTGGATCATGATCAGGGATTCGGAGGCCGAGAACCCAGTGGAGGTCGTCGAGCCGGAAGGGTTCCCTTCCATGCTGGCTGGTGGTTGTGCCTGGCGGGCCAACCTACGCTCCTCGAGTACCTGGCGAGCTGAGGCCGGGTCGGTCGGGTCCGTCTCGTCGAAGATGCCCTTGCCAAGAGCTGCCCGCTTGCGAGCGCTCATGAACTGCTCGTCGTATATGAGGCGCCACTGCTGCTTCTCGAGGAAGGCCCGAACCACTCCGAATGCCTGCCAGCTTGCCTTGGTTAGACCGTCGGCGATCTGTGCGTGTGAGTGAACCCAGCGCACGACCATTTGACCCTCGTCCAAGGCATTGCGGAGAGCCAAAGCCTCGATGGCTGTCCTCCGCTCTTCCAGTCCCAGTCCCGCCGACTGAGATCGCACCACGCCGTCGTAGAAGGCCTTGCAGTCCGTCACCAGGATGGCCGGTAATCGTCGTAGTGCTGCTGCGGTATCTTGCAGTGGAGACATATTGTGTAGAAGTTCGGCAAGTACCAGTCGCACCATGCTCTGCTCGCCTTCGGCGTCGCCGGCTTCCTGCACCTCCGCCGCCAGGCTAGACCGAGCCACGCGGCGCAGCTTCTTGGAGCCCCAGTCGAGGACCGTGAACTCGGAGAGCTTCCCGTCCATGGCCGCCTTGGAGGAGATAGCGGTGATATGACCACCCTGGGAGTGTCCATCCGGGCGGCTGGCCCAGGCTGCGTCGCACCAGGTGAAGATGGCGAGGTCGTCCAGGGCGTGCCGGTAGATCCTGATCCCCATGTGGCGGCTCTGCTTGACGAGCTTAACGATGTTGTTAGCGGCCGTGAAGAGGTTGTGAGTACCTGCTGGTATCTTCATCTGGAGGTCGGCTACCCACGATAGGAGAAATGGCATGGTATTCACGCCAAGCCAGTAGATCTCGCCGCAGAACGCCCTGAGCACCGTCTTGTCAGAGTCCTTGAGGCTGTCGGTGGTCCGATGCTTACTGCCGCTGGCCGCCTTGACCTCCTTGATCTTGTCGATGTACGACTTCTGGTGGAGGAAGAAGCCCTGCTCGCTCTCCTCGATGGTGACGCCGCACTGTTCGAGAGAGGTGAGCCCGTCATTCATGTCCTCCCAGGTGCCCCACTTGTAGAGCCCTCGGATCTGCTTGACCATGTCCTGCCACTCAGGGTGGGAGGTATCTCCTGCCATGATGAAGTCGTCGACGTGGGCCATGATCATACCGATGAGCATACCCGTCCTGGAACATCGTGCTTTCCAGAGGCAGGGCTCCAACTCGCAGGCTTGGAGTCGAAGTTTCGCAAAGTCGTGCTTGACCGTCTCCCACCAGTGCCGGGGCGCCTCGCCGATCCCATATCCAGGTTTCACGACCTGGAGGATTTCCCCTTCCTGCACATGGAAGGCCTTTCTGAGGACGGCGTCTGGCTCGATGAAGAGGTCCTTGTCGAGGTCGTGGGCCTGCAGAAAGGCGGAGGTGACGTCGCCCTTGATGAGCTTCCAGCGGTTCGCGGCGGCCACTGTTAGCATCACGTGACGGGCGCGCCGAGACGCGGTGGGGCTGGCTGTCGGCTCCTGTCCTAGGTCCTTCGTCTGGTAGCCGAGGAGGACGAGCCGGGCCTTCGCCTTTCCATCGGACTTGCGGGTGAAGAGCCACCTTGCCCGGATGACGTCCGCCGCGTCCTTGACCCGAGATATCGGGACAGCGCGGAGTCCCTGATGCTGGATCCAGTTGTTCGTCTCCTTGGCGATGGCTGCCTCGAACTCCTCACGCTCGGTGGCGTTCATCTTGGACCAGGTCAGCTCCACCTTGTCCTTCCGGCGCTGGTTGACGACGAAGCTGTCCAGGATGTGGCTCGTCAAACCTCGGCGTCCGTCTGGAGTGGTATTCTCGTCCTGCAAGTACTCGAAGTAGACGGTCTGCTGTTCGTCGTTGTCGAGGGTGATGTCCAACTTGTCCTTGAAGAGGTTGACCAGGTGGTTGCTGTCGAACAGCGCGTCGGCCATCTCCTCGTCTGCGCCTCTCTGTCGCTTCTCCGGCGGTACGTGCAGATCGAGCTCTGGTCCGCGGTGTGTCATGCGCCATCTAGGTCTCGACTCGCCTCGGGATGCGGCACCGGCCGCCGATGAGGTCGAGGTCGCGGGAGGCGGACGCGATGCTGTTCGAGACTCCGTCCTGACTGCCGCTGGGGTAGATGCTTTCCCTGGCGTTCGTGATGGGGCTGCTGACCGGTCAGCTGCACGAGCCGGTGGTGACCGGGACCGTCGGACATCTGGTTCACTCGGTTCCACTTCAGGTTGCGTCGCTGAGCTTGGTGTTGGTGGCCTGGAGGAATCAGGATCGCCGGGTGTGTCGTTGTCGGCGCCTGAGGGGAGTCCCGCCTCGCTGTTGTTCTCGAGAGTCTGGCCCTCGGTCGCGGGGATCGCCATCGTCGGCTGCGGTGGAGGCTCGTATTCTCGGAGGTCTGGAGGATTTTGTCCGAGAAGGTCTTCATAGGTACCGCCCTTGGCTGTCTCCAAGATCTCCGTCATGGTCTTGCCAAGGTTGCTCTGCCGCTGCAATTCGACGATCATCTTCTCTGCCTCCGAGGCGACGCGCAGCTGCTCCGGGGCGCACCTGATGAGCACGCTCCCGTGGGAGATCCAGATGACCGAGGTAGGACGGGTGCGCCCGTCCACGTGTCGTTTTTCCTGAGCAAGGACACGAGCAGGGCCGTACCATCCGCCCTTCTTCCCAGGGCGAGGGTCCAGGCCTTTCCCTTTGCGCCAGAAGTAGACGAGGTCCCCCGGATTCCAGGTCTGGTAGACCCGGTTGCGGGCCTGTTCGGCGTGTCGACGACGCTCAGCATACTCTACTTCCAGGAAGCTTTTGCGCGCGAGGAGACGCCTCTGCTCCTGAGTCTCCCCGGTGTCCCCGTCAATGATGGCGAACGGGTTGCTCGAGGCCGGCATCCCAGAGACGCCCATCACGTGCTCGAACGGGGAGTGGTTGCCGACCTTGTCCATGCTGTTGATCGCGCTCACGGCCCAGGACACCAACTCCTCGACAGGGCAGTCGGGGTCCAGCGTTGCCAGCTTCGTCATCAGTCGCTTGAAAAGCTGGATGCGCCTCTCGACCTTGCCCATCAGCCAGTGGGCCTCGCCCGGGGCAATCCACAGCTCGATGCCGCGGTCCGAACACCACCTGGCCACTGCTTGTGAACGATGACAACCTTCGGGGTCCAGACGGAGAAGGCTGGGGCGGCGGTAATGTCCGCACCAGTCATTCCATGTTGAAATCACCTCCTGAGTCGATATGTTGCCATTGCGCTCTCCCTTCTGTCCATGATAGGTGACACTGGTGAGCCCGGATCCCTCGTCGATGTTCAACGTCATCAGGAAAGAGTCCTGCTGCGGCGAGAGCCACTCGAGCCCGTCGGAGGCCAGCACCTCTAGGACGCCTGGCAACTCGATGCCCGAGGCGACCCTGACGGCTTTTGGTAATTGTCCCGCATGGCATGCGTGACACTGGAGGCGAAGAGCTGCTCGTAGGACCTGGAGAGGTGCTCCCGATGCCTTGAGGATCTTGTACAGTGTCTTGTTGCTCGGGTGGCCGAGGTTGCGGTGGAGCCGCGTCAGCCGTTGCTCGATCTCCAGCTCCTCCTTCTTGGTCGGTGTCTCGGAGATGCCCAGGCCCTTCATGACCGACTCGTCGTCCATGGCCTCGGGGTTATCCTGCAAGAGGTCCTCGTCGAGGGCCTCCTCTATCTCCTCTTCAGCGTCCTCTGGGATCTGTTCCAAGCTGGTGAAGATCTCCTTGCCGTACCTCGCGCTGGCGTTCGTCTTCAGGATATGCTTTGCCCAAGCCTTACACAGTGCTGGTGGGTAAAAGGCCGTCTGGGCCACCACCTGTCCGTCCTCGATGGGGCGGTGCGTGTGGTTGTCGCCCCTGCCCGGGCGGTTGGAGCACGTCCTGCCGAGCTTAGCGCCGAACTCCGGGTCTGTCGAGCATATGCGCCATGCCTTCCTCATCAGCAGGCCGGAACGAGCTTCGCGAAGTCCATACGCACAGCCATGGATGATCGTCTCGTGCATCTGGTCGCGCATCGCCTTGATCGAAGGCGACCTGGTCCAGCTTCGGCTGGAAGCTGGCTGTTCGAGCTCGGTGTGGCAGTCGTGAATCTTCTTCGAGTCTTCCCAGAGGCTCTTGCAGTTCCGCTGGATACGTCGGGCCTTGCGCACCTTCGCCAGATACGTGGCCTTCTGCTGAGCTGTCTTCTGGTTGAGATTCTGGATCGGGCAGTCTGCTGTACATGGCGGGCTGAGAACCAAGCGGCGCGGTCGGAGTCGTCGGAGAAGGTGAAGCGCGCGTCGAAGCCCGGTTGCCGTTCCCATGTCGATCCCATTGAAGAGGCCGCACCTGAACACTTTGCCTCCCTGGTCCTGCACGGCCTTGCTGAGGCTCGAGTCCTCCGGACAGCACACCTCCATCAGGTCGATGCGGTAGGGCCTGCCGAGCTCCGTCAGGTCCTCGGCGATGGTCTGGTAGATCTGGTCCAGGACCTTGTCGTGGCTCTCGTAGAACATCTTGAGATCCTGGTCGTCGAGCTGCTTCAGCGTTTCCTCTTCGAGTCCATCTCCGGCAGTTCCGAGTCGTCGAGCATCTCCGGAGTGAACTTCCAGCCCCCCTGTACCTCCGGGGAGTTCAGCTTGTTGGACAGGCGCCGCCAGCGTAGAGCCACTGCCTGCTCCCGGATGGTCACCTCCGTCGCCTTCGTACACGTGTGGCTCTTGCCTCCGCGGCAGCTGCACCCCCGAATCGTCTTCCCGAGGGTCCCGCAGCAGGAGCACGCGGACTTCGGAGGTCTCGTCACTGGCTGAGCCCCCGCTGGACTCGGTGGGGCGCTGCTGGCTGTCGCTGCTGATGCCGCTGCTGGTGTCCCGGGTGCTCCCTGCTGCGGGGTCTTGAGGCACTGGTGGCTCTTGCCCCCGAAGCAGCTGCACCCGCGTTTGGTCTTCCCCAGAGCTCCGCAGCAGCCGCGCTTCCCCACTGGGTTGTACCACTTCGCTGGTAGCTCCGGAGTAGCTGGTGTTGCTGTTGATGTTGGCGTCGGGGTCGCTGGAGCCGAAGTTGTCGATCCCCTCGTGCGAGGGCGGCTCCACTCGGGGCGGGCCGCAGGCACAGGTGGCGGCTGTTGCTCCGAGGATCGCCCAGCCAAAGAACCGTCGCTGCATGTCATCCAAGCGGCCAGTGGCGGCCTGGGAAGAATATGGAGGTCGTGAAAGACTGCTGGTTGAGGCTATTGCCGAGTTGATGAACTGAGCCGAAGGTGGCTGCGAACAGCATGATGATGAACACCGATGGTATTGTGCTGGCTCATCGCTTTGCTTTTCCATATTTTGATCCTGAGGCTTGCTTGCTAACGGTCCTCTTGACTGTGATGATGTCCCGATCGATGGTGGTGATGAAGAGAGCCGGTCGGATGACCTGACCGTCCGTCCGAACGAAATCGAGGTTTCCGTCGCTCGAGCCGATCCGCTCCGTGTCGCAGTTTCCGTCGCTCTGGTAGGTGTCCGCGCCGCCGAGGTTTCCGTCGCTCTGGTAGGTGTTTCGAACTCGCGGTGACCGAGTCGGTGTGGCCCCCCCGATGATGAGGTTGACAATCGAGATAAATTCTCTTCTGCTGCCATCATCAGGGGGCGCTGTCCCTAGCGTACCGCAGGGCAGCAGCTGCACGGAGCGGCCTCTTCGGGCAGCTCCTCCACCAGAACATCGGGCGCCGTCGCTTCGGACGTCAGGCACCCGGCACTCGGCAAGGAAAGCGGCACCTCCTTCCACCACTGCGGCGTCGTCAGGTTGACGGCCAGATGGTTGCTCGAGAGGCGCTCGCAGTAGAACACCTTGTTGCCCATGGTCGGAAGGCCGATCCAGTTCCGGCCGCAGTCGACCACAACCTTCAGCGAGTCAGTCAGAATGTCCATGCCCAGGAGGATCGGCACGCGGTTCGGCATCACCGACAGCTTGACCTCGGTCAGGTCGCCGCCGAGGAACACGTTCCCCTTCACCGTGCCCATCGAGCTCTTCTGGAGGCCGTCGCCGAAGGTGAATGAGCACTCGTCATGTGTCGTCTCGAACTCCTGGCCGTGCTGGTCCAGCATCTCGTACATGAGGTTCTCGACGCTCTCGAGGCCGCCGAGGCTCTTCGTGGCCCCGATGTCGAGGATCGCCCAGATGCCGTCGCGCTCCAGGAGGTAGAGGTACTCGTCGAGGGCGGACAGGACGAAGCCGTTGTGAGTAGTCCCACGAGCTCCATCTCTCGTATTATCTTTCTTGAACCTCTCGTTGCAGTCCGCCGCTCGATGACCATATTCGCCGCACGCGATGCACTTCATCTTGGACATGTCACGTCCCTTGCCCGTGTCAAAGCGAGCACGGCCTCGACCGTTCTTGCCACGGCCACGCTGGAAGCCTCGTCCCGGGTTCGGAGGCGGGGGCACGCGATCGGGGTCCTTGAGCGACACGACCGGGTAGTAGTCGCGGGACACTCGAAGGCGTCGGATCAGGTCGCGAGCGTCCTTGAAGCTCCTGCCCACCTGCTTGAACTCTGCGAACACCTCGTTGTCCGCTGGGTTGTCGTCAGCTGGCTCCTCATCTTCATCTTCTTCAGCGAGGGTGATCAGCTGCTCGACAACCTCTGTGAAATCAATATCTTCCCCACCAGTCTCGTCCTCAACGTCGTCGACGGGCGTGTCCTCATAGAAGGCCCTCCGGTGCTGCTTGCCGTCGAGCTCCGCCAGCGCCTCCGCCGGGAAGCGCGTGAGCAAGGCCTTGTATGTCTTACCAAAGTTGAGGTCGCCACCTGCAGTGGCGGTGATCTCTCCACGTTGAACAGGGGATAGCTTGGACTTCCGAAGGAACCACCATGTCCGAAGAGGCTTCGCAATCACTTCCGTCACGCTGGAATCAATGACTTGGAGCTGCACCAACAGCTCCCGCTCCTTCTTCTCGAATCTGGCGGCCCAGTCCTGGAAGGTCTCGCCCGAGTTCCTGCTGACCTTCAGGAAGAACTCCTCCGCGAGGAGGCCCGTGTCATTCAGGCTGGTGAAGTCCAGCTTCTCCAATACGTACTGAAACACTTTGTTCCAACCAATCAAAACTCCATCCTTGTCGATCTCGTCGACCGTGTCGATGTCCGGGCAGCTCTCCACCGTCGTCCGGACTCGCGCCCCGAGGGCGCGCACCAGCTGCGGGCCACACACGTAGCGCTCCGCAGTCTTGATGCTCTTGGTGAACATGGTGAACATGGAGACCTCAAACTTGTAGCTCGTCAACTTGTCTGCCTCGCCGTTCCATGAGGGGACGTCGACGCGCGTCGTCGGTGGCCCGCTGGCGGCTGTAGTCGCCATTCAGGCCGAGACCGGTGGGAGCCCGTGGTTGTCGGAGACCACAGGCTCCGCTACCAATCTGATTACTAGAGCTCGTCCTCTAGATCGTTCACGCTGGTGACGATGAGGAGGAGCAAGAGAAAGTATGTGTCGATGTCAATTATCGTGATAATTGTCCGAGAACACCTTTTGTCCACAATATGAACGGCCGCGCTGTAGTGTGCGCGGTCTGCCTGGCACGGCCAGGCTCTGTCAGAAAGAGTCCCGCCCTCCCTCGCCTTGAGCCGAGGGTGGCGGCGAAACGGACAGGGCAGACGGGCAGGAGGCAGCTGCTGCTCAAGCTTACTCCTGCGTAGCATTCAGACCCAGGGACGGCGAGGTCTCGCTCAGATCCCCGCGGCGCCTCACTCAGCAGGACCCATCAGCAGCCCTCGAAAGTGGCGACAGCGTCGCAGATCACACCCCCCCAGGGACGGCGAGGTCTCGCTCAGATCCCCGCGGGGCCTCACTCCGCAGAACCCACCAGCAGCCCGCGAAAGTGGCGACGGCGTCGCAGATCGCAGCCCCTTGGCAAGATGCACACACAAGAGGTACCGCAACCAGGATGCATACACACACACACACACACACACACACACACACACACACACACACGCACACACACACGCACACACACACACACACACACACACACACACACACACACACACACACAAAAAAAAAACACACACACACACACACACACACACACACACGAGGTACGCGCAAGGCAAGAGGAGACAAGACGGAAGCGGGAGACGGGAGGCGGGAGGAGGAGGAGGAGAAGGACTGGAGACCGCAGTGCTCGATTCAAGACGAATGCCCAACCAAGGAGGGCTGGGAATTATAACAGCAGCAATAATACTAATAATACGAATGATGAATAAGAAAGAGCCAGAACACTATAATGATACTAATCATCATCAGCAGCAGTGACATCATCACCACCACCGCCATCATCAGCAGCATCATGAGCATCATCAGCATCACCAACATCCTCAGCATCATCATCGTCATCATCAGCATCGTCATCATCATCAGCATCAGCATCAACACCATCATCATGATCATCACCAATCATTACCACGTATCGGCATCATTATACTAAGGATTAGGAAAACGAATACGATTACGTACGAATCACAACAACACTAACAAGCAGTATCACCATCAGCACCATGATAGCAGCATCATCATCGTCAGCAGCATCAGCATCATCATCATCAGCATCAGCAGCAGAATCACCATCATCATCGTCGTCATAAACATCATTATCAGCATCATCATCATTCCGCAGGTGGTTGCCAGCTAGGAAGCCCATGGTTCAGCCCGAGAGCTGCGATGTGCGACATCAAGACTGATGCTTGCCCATACCGCTTCCCCAGACCAGGGTGCCAAGTAGTGTTGCTCGCTCATCCGACCATGTATATGCATTAGACACTTCATCCTCGCAAGACGACAAGACACTAGGACCTAACTCCCCGAGCACACAAGGAAAAGCTTGAATACTCGAAGAATGCCTTCGCGGGCGCACGCCATGCCCGATCGCTTTTGTATACGACCAGCTCATAGTGCCAAGAGGAAGCCAAGCGTGTGACGTCTTGGGCAAAGCATCGCATACATGCTCCACCACGCGCTGAAGAGTCAGCCCGACGACGACGATGTCCGTCGTCTCCCTGACGCTCCATCCTCTTCAAATATTCGTGATGACGAGACAACAACACGGAAAATCACCAGGGCCCCAGAAGGCAGAAAGCATCGCGGAGCGCGGTGCCATCGCCAACCACGTTGTTGTGCAGCTTCTCCGCTGCCTTCTGCGCCTGTGTCTGGGCGTCCTCCTGTCGGACGGGCCAGTGAGGGAGAGGAGGGGGCAGGAGGCCGGAGGGGTGAAGGGCGGAAGAGAGAGGGGGAGTAAAGAAGGCGGGAAGCTGAAGAAGGGGGGGAGCTTAAGAAGAGGGGATCGGAAGGGGGCACTGGAGAAGAAGCGGGAATCGGAAGCGGAGAGGTCAAGCGCATCACATGTAGAATGCTAGCTTGGCAGTGGCAGCCAAACACGCACAGAAAGGTTACATAGAACCCAGGCAGCAGTGCAGGAAGGAAAGGGGAGGGAGGTGGGGAGGGGGACGGACAGCGGGAGGAAGGCGGAGGGAGGAGAGAAAGAGGGGTATGGGGAACGCCAGGCCGCGCGCAGCCAAGGCGCCTCTCTGCCGGGCTTGAGCTTCACGAGGGCGTGCGTCGAGTCCTGGCCCGTCCGCGAGCCATCGAGGGGCGGGAAGGGGGGAGGACATCGAAGACTGCGGACCTCGGGCCCCGAAGTGAATGCGCAAGAGCATGAGGAGGGTCGGCGACCCAGCGCCCCAGCTCGCCGTAGCCACGGGGCCGCCGGGCGACGGGTGGTTCTGGCGGCCTGCGAACTGTCCTCTGCGGTCGCCCTCGGCCGAGGCTACTTCAACGGCCCCCATCCCGATCGACTGCGAGACCGAAACTCCAGCCTACACTCTCAAAGATATGCGCCGCCAAGCCTACCCCACCCACATCGCTGGTCGCATCCTTGGGACTGGCTCGGTCGTTCGATCCTGAGATGTGAGGGGGTGGGACCGGGGTGGGAGTTCACCAAACTGCACACCCAGGGTCTGACCAACAACATGCTACAAACAAATGCAATTCGGTACAGTCGGGCCGCTGAAAGAAGGAGCGCTAAATAAGGAACAAAGCCCCTTCTTGGCCCTGTAAGCGCCTCCGTGCCCCAGGAGGGCAAGAGGAACAGCGCTGGAGGAACCTAAGGCACATCGAGCCCCTTCCGAACCCAAACTGTTCCTTATCACAGCGTCTTGACAATAATCTTGATCGCGCGCACGCCATGATGCGATGACCAATCGTGCACGGGCTCACGGGACCGCCGAGAGGAGCACAGTCGGGGCGCTGAAGAAGGAACACTTTTCGTTGAGGAGGGGCTCCGTGTTCCCTGATTGATTCATAACTTGCCTTCGGTGTTCCTTAGATTTTCGATGGGAAATCGAAGTTCAACTGATGGAAAAAAGGGGCCTCGTTCCTTATCTAGGGTTCCTTAAGTCAACGCCCCGGCTGTGGGCACAATAGCTCACAAATGTGGGAGCGGTGGGCCGGGAGGGGGGGGGCTCGGGGGTGAAGGGAGAGGGAAGATAACCAGCACCGAACTTATCCCTATCCCTAAGATCGGCAAGTCCAAGGCGATGGCAATCTTAGGGATGTGCCCTCGGAAACTGAGGGAATCCTCAAGATCAGCACCGAGGTAAGGTGATGCCAAACATAGGGATAGGGATATGCTTCCAGCTGGTAAGAAAAGGAGGGGTGAAGAGAAAGGAAGGTGGGAGCAGGAGGAGAGGTAGAAGGGGTAATAGGCGCGGAAACAGGGGACAGGGGAATGGAAGAGGAGGGTGAAAGGGGAGGGGCGCAGGGGATGGAAGGAGGATTAGGGGGCAGAGAGGGAAGGGGAATGGAGCGTCAGTCCTCTCTACTGGTGAAAGTGACCGTGTCCACGCCGCCGAGAACCGCGAAGATCAACCTGTGGATTCGAGACCAGGTGGACTGAGACTTCCTACGAGGATGCAGAGGACCGATGAAGACGAGGAAGACGACGCAGACGAGGAGAAGGAAAAGGAGAAGCTGGAGGGTTCGGACGCTTCGGCCACTGAACCCACAATGGCCCGCGGAATAGTCACTCCAACAATGGGTGCCCAAATTGCGGGCCGACTGGACTGGCTGGGCCAACTGAGCCAACCGTGATAGCAAGGCGGGCTCTTAGGCTGTCCGGGCTGGCTGTGCTCGCTGAGCTGCCTGGGTCGTCTGGGCCGTATCGGCTGGCTGGCCGTAGGGGACCAGCCAGGATGGCTCCTGACTGAGACGACCAGGCTGGCTGGGTCGGCTGGGCTGTCTGGGCAGGCTGGGCTGGCCAGGCTGGCTGAGCTGGCTGGCTGACTGAGCTGGGTTGGGTGGGCTGGCTGGTTAAGCCTGCTCCTCAGAATCTCATGTTAGTCGGCGCAGGCCCAAAACAGTGATATCCTGCTGTCTGCGTTTTGCAACTTAGGTGGTGCAATCGCTGTAGTGCAATCTGGGTGGTGCAATCCATGTGGTGCTATCGATGTGGTACGAAGCAATGCAAAGCAATGCAAAGCCACGCAAAGCAATGCAGGGCAATGCAGGGCAATGCAAAGCAATGCAAAGAAATACAAAGAAATGCAAAGCAATGCAAAGCCGTGCAGGCAATGCAAAGAAATGCAACAATCATACAAAGCAATGCAGAGCAATGCAGAGCAATGCGAAGCAATGCAAGGACATACAACGCAATGCAAAGCAATATAAGGTAATGCAAAGCAATGCCAAAGCAATGCAAAGCCATGCATTGCCATGCAACGCACAACAAAGCAGAACAAAGCAGAACAAAGCAGAACAAAGCAATGCAAAGCAATGCAAAGCAAATCAAAGCCATGCAAAGAAATGCAAATAAATACAAAACAATGCAAAGACAGCGCAGAGCAATTCAAAGACAATGCAACGCAACGGACAGCCATGCAAAGCAATGCAAAGCATTGGACGCGACGCAAAGCAATGCAGAGCAATGCAAGGCACTGCAAATCAAGTCAAAGCAATGCAATGCAAAGCAATGCAGAGCCATGCAAAACAATGCGATGCAGAGCAATGCAAACTAATACAAAGCAATGCAAAGTAATACAAGGCAACGCAAGGCAATGTAAAGCAACGCAAATACACCGCAAAGCAATGCAAAGACAATGTAAAGCAATGCAAATCCATGCAAAACAGTGCAAAGCACTGCAAAGCAAACTAGTAATGCAAAGCAAGGCAAAGCAACGCAAACCAATGCAAAGCAATGCAATGCGATGCAATTCACTACAGAGCGATGCAAGACAATGCAAAGCCGTGCAAAGCAATGAAAAGCAACGCAAAGCAATGCGAAGCAATGCAAAGCAATGCAGAGCCACGAAAAGCAATGCAGAGCAGCGCAAAGCAGTGAAAACCGACGCCAGGCAACGCAACGCAGCGCGCAAAGCAGTGCGATTGCAATGCAACGCAGCACGATGGCATATCAAATGCCGTGAAACGCGATCACAGCGCAACGCTGTTGCAATGCATCGGGGGGGGGGGGGGCAGCAGGGCGGCGGCGACGGGCGGCAGGGGACGAGAACGGGGCCGCCGCGCACGCAGACGGGCCCGTCCTCGGAGCAAAGACGGGGCGGCAACGGACGAGAACGGGGCCGCCGGGCCCGCAGAGGGCCCCAGCTCCCTAGGGTTGCGGATGCCACGACAGTGGGCACACTAACCATCCGATCGTTGAATTAAAGGTGTGTTTCAAAGGTGTAAGACCTGTTCTAAAAATCTTTCAAACATGCTTATACACATTTTAAAACATGTTTGAAACATGTGCTAGACATCTGGGAATTATCTGGCAGCATGCTTCCTCTCCATAAATCGACTTCCACAACCTTAGGCGAGAAGTAAGAACCCCAAAGTGCAAACACTGTTTAACAATATGAGAGATACCTCTGGCGAGAAAGCCAGACGTGAGAGGGTCGTTTTTTTGCGACGCAAGATCGCACATGGAAGCTGAGTTCTGGCACCAGGACAGCCGCCAGGAGCTGATTTTGACAACACGGAGGCCGCATCCTGCGACTCGGAACCGCATCTGGCAGTGGAGTTCTGGCAGCACGAAGGCCGCCAATAACGTGATGGTCGCATCTAGCAGCTGAAAATCGGACCCTGGACCAGAGCGTTGGCAACACGAAGGCCGCTGCGAGCAAGAAGACTCCGTGAATCAAAGTCGAACGCAGGAGTGTACTTCCAGCCATCTGGGGAGGCTCACCCGCCCCAAGCACCGAGTAAGGGAAACACAAAGGGAAAACTTAGAACCATTCAGGCCAGCTTCATCAGTAAGAAGCAACATGGCAAATCAAACTCGCACATCATCTGGAAGCGCTTTCGGCCACAACGCCATAGCGCTGTCCACGGGAAACGAATCAGGGCTTCAGCACCGCTGTTTTGTGGGCCCTCGTCGAGTCGAGCTCAGGCTGTCGGCAACCCCCCTCCCTCCCGCACCCGTGAAGCCGCTGAAGCACACGGGCATCTGTTCCAATCCATGCGACAGATCCGCCTGCAATTGCCAGGAAGGGGTTAGAGCCTTGGAGGGAGCAGAGGGAAAGGAGGGAGGGGAGCGAGGGAGAAGCAATGGACGGAGGAAAGGGTGCCCCAAAGCCCCAGGGCGGCAGGGGCCAGCCAGACTGCAGCCTTGCCGCCGAGCGCGGCAGGACACGAGACATAGCATCAAGAAAAGCAAACACCGACAAGCAAAAACGGCCGGCCGCGGCGGGCCAGAGGGCCCCGCATCCCGCATTGGGGGGGGGGCGGCGGGCGCCGGATCTGCTTCTCGGTCCAGCTCGGCGGGAAGCCCCGCACCAGCACGCCGGGCCCCAGCAGCTCGCGCGGCGCAGAGGGGGGGGGGGGAGCCTTCTCGACGCGGGGGCCCTGGACGTCAGGGCTGGGGGTGCCAAAGAAAGGAGGAGAAGGAGGAGGTTGAGCGTGCCCAGAGGGGTTCAGGAGGAGGAGGAGGAGGAGGAGGAAGAGGAGGAGGAGGAAGAAGATAAGGAGGAGGAACACGAGAAAAAGTGGCAAGGCGCCAGCCTCTGAGGGCGGGAAGGGGAGAAGCAGATCAAGAGCAAGGCCACTTTGCTGAAAACGGAGCTTCCGATATCTCTCCGCCACCGTGCCCCCCTGGCACGTTGAGGCGTGGTAGCATGCCAAGTGCTGCATGGTGGTGCTTCTGGAATCGTCCAGGGGACCCCCTGCCCTCCTCCCTGCACTTATCTGTGCGCATCGCCCCCCCCCATCCTGGGGCCACGAGCCCTCAGAAAAAAGCACGGACCCGCACTCCCGAGGCCACGACCCCTTAGAAAAACTGATGGGTCCCGGCACCAGGAGCTTCCAAGACGGCCGAGGCAGGCCACCAAGACCGCCAAGATGGCCTCAAACGCCTCCCAGACGGCCCAAGACAGCCCCACGACGGCCCAAGTGAGCCTCCGACTGCCGAAGAGGCCCCAAAAATGGCACAAGGGGGCGAGCAGAGGAGCCCCAGTAGGGCCCGAAGAAGCCAAAGTCATGGATGTTCCTGGTTTTCGAAGAGTTGGGCGGCTTCACCTTTTTCAAACTTCCTTCAGGCCCAGACGGCTTCAAAAACCTACAAGGTGGCCCCCAGAGGACTCCGAAATGGTGTGTGTGTGTGTGGGGGGGGGGGGGGGGAGGGGGCGTGTCAATGGGGGGTAGGCTTATTGTCCAGTTTCTTGGTTGGGTGGTGGTAATGAATGGTCTTAGCGGGTTTTTGGTTGTGTTTCGTATGCGGGGGATCCGCTTTTGCCTCCTCTGATTTGGATGTTTTGGTGGGCTGGTGCGGCTTGCAGGGGAGGCTTCAATGGGTGGTGGGGGGGAAGACGGCCTCAAGACAGCCCCAGAGGAGCCCCTAGACGGCCCAGGACGGCCCCAAGAGAGCCCCAAGCTGGCCCAGAGGGCATCCAGGGGAGCCCCTCGACGGCCCCAGGCGGCCCCAGGACGGTCCCAAGATGCCCCCTGGACGGCAGAGACGGCCCCAAGACGGCCCAACACAGCCCTCAGACGGCCAAAGAGAGGCCCAGTAGGGCCCCAAGGAACCCCCAAGATTGCCTCACCAAGGTGGCCCAGATGAGCTCCATGAGAGCTCCTCCAAAACTAAAGACGAAATCCGAGGCGAGGATGCTGGGCTGGCAAGGTGGAGGGACTTGCCGCAGGCAACTGGATACCTATATACATAAAGATGTGCGCGTATAGACATGACTCTAGGAAGGGGGGGGAGGCCTGGGCGGCGGGGGTTAAAACAATCTCCTGCACCGGGAGGCATTGCATTGCATTGCGTGACATTGCGTTGCAGATAATTGCATTGTGCTGCATGAAATGCATTGCATTGCATCTTCGTGCATTGCATTGCGTTGGCTTGCATTGCGTTGGAGCGCATTGCATTGCATTGTGTTGCATTGAATTGCGTTGCATTTGCATTTGTCGTACTTTGCGTTGCACTGGGTTGCGGGCGAGGAGGAGGGGGGAAGACAAGGAAGGAGGAGAACAGAAGGAGGTAGAGAGGAGGGGAGGAAAGAGGAGTGAAGTGAGGAAGGGGGAGGCGGGGGAGGGAAGGAGGGAGGATGGAGGAGGGGGAAGGGAGAAGGACGATGAAGAGAAAAGGATAGCAATGTTATTCGCTCCTCTGGCCCTTCACCGTCGTCGTCATCGTGGCAAGCTCCGCCACCGCGTCTCATGGCACGAGGTGGAGCGCCATCAGATGCTCCAGAGTACTCTGTGATCTGTACATGGCGAATAGAGTGGAATCGCATTTGTCTTCGGACACCGCGGCGCTGCCACGTGCCAGGTAGAGTGGAATAGTATTTGTTCGCCCGCCCAGGCATTGTCATGTGACGAGTGAGGCGGGATTATTTTCTCTTGGGCCCCTCGGCGCTGACACGCGACGAGGTGCGCATGGCGTCATGGCGTTACAGTGCTTGGCGTTGCACTGCGTCGCATTGCATTGCATTGCGCTGCGATGCATTGCATTGCATTGCATTGCAATGCGTTGCGTTGCATTGCACTGCAGTAAGCATTCTCAACCCTCCGACCCAGCACCGCCTCAACTCTCCAACCCGTTCATTCGCCCAACCCCTCCAACACCTGGGCAGGCGGGCAAACCGGCCGACCAAACAACCAACCAACCAACCAACCAACCAACCAATCAACCAATCAAACGACCGACAATACAACCAACCAAAGTACCGACCACCAACCAACCAATTTTACCAACCAACCAGCCGGGCTATCGGCCAACCGGCCAACTGGCCAACCGGCCAACCAACCAACTAATCAACCAACCAACAAACCAACAAACCAACCAGCCACCCAACCAACAGACCAACCAACAGAACAACCGACCAAGCGACCAATCAATCATCAAACCAGCCAACCGACCAACCAACCAACAAACAAACAAATCAAAAAACCAACCAGCCAGCCAACTAACCAACCAGCCAACTCATCAGCCAACCCGCCAACCAACTAACCAACCAACCACCAACCAACCAACCGACCGACCGAACGACCGACCTACTGACGAACCAACCAATTTTGGCACAACCCTCACACGCATAGCGCCTCGGGGACCAGAAAACAACGTCCAAGCTATGTGATGCGATCTACAGTGTGCAATTTATGCTGTGCAATATATGTCGTGAGATCTAGGTTGTGCAATTGTTTATCCGCCGATCCGGCGTGTGAGTTTGAAAAATCTCCGCTGCAGCCTACAGCCCAGAGCCTGAGCTTCAGCTCTGCTGGGGGGGGGCCGGCGGGGCTCTGCCGAGGAGGGGGAGGGGGGGAGGGGGGGGGGGGACGAGTTGTGGTCCGCTTTCCGGGGTGGGCTTTTCCGGGCCCACGAGGGCCCCAAGACGGCCCAAGAGGGCCCCAACACCCCCCAAGACGGCCCCAGAAGCCCCCGAGACGCCCACAGAGCACTCCAAGACGCCGAAGATGACCTCCACACGGCCCAAGAGGCCGCAGAGACGCTCCAAGAAGCCTCCAAGAGCCCTCAGAAGAGGACCCTTCGAGGCCAAAATCATCAATTTTACTATGGTTTGGAAGGATTCTGGCCTTCCCGCCTTTTCGGCTTCCCGACGCTCCAATACGGCCCCAGAGGCCCCCAAGATCGCCCCAAGACGGCCCCAGAGGCTCCCAAAATGGCCCCAAGACGGCCAAGAGAGCCCCAAGACTGCCCAAGAAACCTCCAAGACGGCCCCGAAGACTCTCAAGACGGCTCCAAGAGGGGAGCCAGACGGGGAACCCGAACGGAAATTTCGAGCCCTCGGCATCCAGAAGCCCCCAAGAGGCCCCAAGAGGCCCCCAAGAGGCCCCCAAGAGGGTCCCCAGAGGTCCCAAGAGGCCCCCAAGAGGCCCTTAGAAGAACCCAAGAGACCCAGAAGAGGCCCCCAAGAGACCCAACAGAGGCCCCGAGGGTCCCCACAACGGCCCCAAAGATGCCTCAAACATGTACCCATGAGGCCCCCGAGAGACCTACCACGAGATCCCAACGAATACTAACGAGACCTCCGACACCACCCAGGCACGGTGGCGGCATTGGCCGTAGGCCACCACTACATAATCGTAAACGTCACCGTCATCGTCATCGTCATCATCATCATCATCATCATCATCATCATCATCAGCAGCAGCAGCAGCAGCATCATCATCAGCAGCAGCATCAGCAGCAGCAGCAGCAGCATCATCATCAGCCTCCTCTTCCTCCTCCTCTTCCTCCGAGCCTGCTCCTCCTCGTCATCGTCCATCCCAACAATAGCATCGAAAGCGCCCCGGATCGGCGGCACTGGCCAGAGGCCACTACTATGAATATATATATATATATATACATATATATATGTATACATATATACATACATATACATACACATACATCTACTAGAAGCCACGCGCACGCTTCGCGCGCGCTTAGGTTCTAGCGCAGGCCAGGGAAGCGTTACAGCACAGTGGGATCATCCGCATCCCCATTTTCGGGGATGACGGGCGAGAGAGGGGAAGCGACAGGAATGGTGAGTTTGGGTGAAGGCGTCAGCCGACCCTCGCTTGCCCAGGGTGACAAGGAGTGTGAGACATGTGGGTGTCCCACTCCCCATTGCCCCCTCCCCAGGGGTCCAACATCGGATTAGAGGAGGGGAGGGGGGCTCGGCGAGTGGGGTAGACAAGCTGCTCAACGCACCCCCTAGGTTTCCAGGGCCTCCAAAGAGCCTCAAAATGGCCCAAGAGATCCCAAACAGAGCGCCACCACAGCCCCAAAGAGCATCGGATCGATCGTGATATTGATAGTGGGAACAGCACTGAGATTGATCATGAGACCGATTGAGTGAGATCAATAATGAGATCGATGGTGAGATCGATCGTGAGATCGATTGAAATTGATAGTGATATCGATGGTCAGATCGACAATAAGTTCGCTATTGAAATCGACCGTGAGATCGATAGAGTGATTTCAACAGTGAAATCGAAAGTGAGATCGATGGTGATCGGTTCGGATGTCGACAGAGACGTCGTAAGTGCGATCGGTAGTGTGATCGATTGAGCAAGATCGACAATGAGATCGATAGTTACATCGACTATGTGTTTCTGTTCATTGGGAAAGCTTGCAGGAGGCGAGCACGCAGATGTGCCCCTAGTGGGCACTGGCGGAAAACCCAGAAGAATTTCCGTCGCACGCGTGAGGAAGAGGAACTTGAGAGGGGAAAAGGGAAGTCGTACTGATATGCACCTGGAAACGCCAATGTAAGCGTACCTGCCTCTCGTGTTGCACTATGCTATGGAATGCCATGGTACACCATGCTACGCTATAAAGCGCAATGCCACTATGCTGTATGCAATGCAATAACGTGATATACTTTACAGTGCGCATTGCCTGCCATGCCATCATGTACTGTGAAATGCTATGATAATATATGGGATGATACGTTGAGCCATATCATGGTACCTATACGACCACCCTTTGGGTGATAAGGAGGTTGTTGCGGGGAAGAGGGGGGGGAACCAACATCTGACTCAATCGATCTCACTATGGATCTCACTCAAAGGGACACCATAGGACACCACGGGACACCACGGGATACCTCGGGACACCACATCGATCTCACTATCGACCTCAGTATCGACCTCAGTATCGATCTCACTCAAGGGGACACCAGGGACACCACGGGACACCACGGGGCACCTGTCGATCTCACTATCGATCTCAGTATCGATCTCACTGTTTGGGACACCACGGGACACCTCGGGGCACCACATCGATCTCAGTATCGATCTCAGTATCGATCTCAGTGTCGATCTCACTATCGGTGTCAATCAACAGGACACCACGGGACACCACGGGACACCGCGGGACACCGCGGGACACCGCGAGCCACCGCCGGACGGACGGACGGACGGGCGGGCGGGGGAGAATCATTTGTCTTGACTTTGCCCTAGCAACGGCGGGCACCACGGGACACCACGGGACACCACGGGACACCGCGGGACACCGCGAGCCACCACCGGACGGACGGACGGACGGGCGGGCGGGGGAGAATCATTTATCTTGATTTCACCCTAACAACGGCGGACACCACGGGACACCACGGGACACCACGGGACACCGCGGGACACCGCGAGCCACCGTCGGACGGACGGACGGACGGGCGGGCGGGGGAGAATAATTTGTCTTGACTTCGCCCTAGCCACGGCGGACACCACGGGACACCTCGGGACACCGCGGGACACCACGGGACACCGCGGGACACCGCGAGCCACCACCAGACGGGCGGGCGGGGGAGAATCATTTGTCTTGACCTCGCCACAGCAACGGCGGGTGCATTCCTCTCGCGCGCCCACGCAGCTTCGTCTCGCCCGCAGGCACGACACGAACGAAACGAAACGATTTCACGGTTGGGGGTCTCCGTTCCACTGCGATCTCACCCCCAAACCTCCGATGTTTCCTATAAAGAGCGATGCTACCACGTTACATGGTTTGCACAGACACGACATACCGTGCCATACAACGCAATGCAATGCAATGCAATGCAATGCTATGCTATGCTATGCTATGGTATGAGCTGCTAAGCAAAGATAAAGAGGACGGCAGTAAGAGCAACAACGGGGGTGTAATGTTTGCATGGTGTCTGTTTACTGCAGCGCTGAGCAGTACGGTGCTGTTCGATTAATTTATGCGCATTGGAAAGTCATAGAACGCCACGATGTATAATGAGATGCAATGCCATGCTAGACACTGTTACGTCGTGACGTGCAGTGCTAGGCTCAGCTAGACAGTACTATGTAAAGCGATGCTATGGCATGCTGAACCATACTGTGATATGAACTGACACGATTAGCTCTGTCGTGACTACCGAAACGCATACTGTTAGTAAATGAAGGAGCGTGGCTGCGGAGCACTTGGGGCAATCAATGAAACTCGTGTCAAGGAGCCCGCACGTGCAAATCTGCTGAAAAAACAGCCGTATTTTTCCCCTGCGGCTAGGATACACCCTCGCGGCACCCTGCACCACAAAGCATTGCTCCTCCGAGCCCGCGGGGCGCGAGCCGACAACGCGCTCCCCGACCGTCGGCTCAAGGAGCAGCAGGAGGAGGCAAACTGAGCATCGTTTAACTGATCCCTATCCCCACTGGCATGGCCTGGGTCCTGCTGGTCGATTTACCCCTTAGATGCAGATGCAGGTCAACATTCTCTGTTTCCTCCTGCCCTTTCCTCATTCCTTCTTCTCCGCTCTCATCGACCGGTCGACCGGTGATCTGTCGCCAAGCTATGGGTCAGGGAAAATGCAGCGCTACAGCGCCAGGCTGCACTATGCTATGGAATGCCACGGTACACCGTGCTACGCTACAAAGCGCAATCTCACTATGCTGTATGCAATGCAATAACATGATATACTTTACAGTGCGCATTGCATGCCATGCCATGCTGTGCTGTGAAATGCTATGATAAAATATGGGATTATACGCTGAACCATGTCACGCGATGTTCCCTATGAAGAGCGATGCTACCACGTTACATGGTATGCACAGACACGACAATCCGTGCTATACAATGCAATGGAATGCAGTGCATTGCTATGCCATGTTATGAGCGGTTAGGCAAAAATAAAGAGGACGGCAGTAAGAGCAACAACGGGGGTGTGATATTTGCATGATGCCTGCTTACTGTAGCGCAGAGCAGTACGGTGCTGTTCGATTCATTCATGTGCATTGGAACGCCATAGAACGCCACGATGTATAATGAGATGCAATGCCATGCTAGACACTGTTACGTCGTGACGTGCGGTGCTAGGCTCAGCTAGGCAGTACTATGTAAAGCGATGCTATGGCATGCTGAACCATACTGTGATATGAACTGACACGATTAGCTCTGTCGTGACTACCGAAACGCATACTGTTAGTAAATGAAGGAGCGTGGCTGCGGAGCACTTGGGGCAATCAACGAAACTCGTGTCAAGGAGCCCGCACGTGCAAATCTGCAGAACAAAAAAAAACAAAAAAACATCCCCTGCGGCTAGGATCGACCCTCGCGGCACCCTGCACCACAAAGCATTGCTCCTCCGAGCCCGCGGGGCGCGAGCCGACAACGCGCTCCCCGACCGTCGGCTCAAGGAGCAGCAGGAGGAGGCAAACTGAGCATCGTTTAACTGATCCCTATCCCCACTGGCGTGGCCTGGGCCCTGCTGGTCGATTTACCCCTTAGATGCAGATGCAGGTCAACATTCTCTGTTTCCTCCTGCCCCTTCCTCATCTCTTCTCCTCCGCTCTCATCGACCAGTCGACGAGCTATGGGCCAGGAAAAATGCAGCGCTACAGCGCCAAAGCATTGCTCTTCCGAGCCAGCGGGGCGGAAGGCTCGAATTGTCGGTTCGTGTTCCGCCTCTTGGGCCCCTCTTGGAGCCGTCTTGGGGCCCTCTTGGGCAATTCTGGGCGCCTTGTGGGCCGTCGTTGGGCGCTCTTGAGCCGGTTTGGGGCTCTCTTGGGCCGTCTCTGGGCGATCGTGGGGCCTCTTGGGCCGTCGCGGACGCTGTTCAGACCAAAAGAGCGGATATGTTAAACATGCGAGCTTGCCCGAAGGATTGGGACGACATGCCTTTCTTGGGAACCTCTGTGGGGTCTTCTTGGGACCCTCTTGGGGCGTCTCTTGGTGGCTAGGCGGTCTGGAACGCTTCCCTTCGGGGCCCTCCTGAGCCGTCCTGCGGACCTCTTGGGGGCCTCTTGGGCTGCCTTGTGGCGATCTGGGGCGCGGTTGGGTCGTCTGGAAGCCTTCGTGGCGCGCCTCGGGGGCGCGGCGGGCGATCTGGAGGCGACCGCGGGCGTCTGGGAGTGATTCTCTGGCGCCCAAGAGGCGCCCCGAGAGCCTCGAGTCGCCTCTGGGCCACCTCTGGGGCCCCCGAGCCCCCCATGCGCCGTCGGGCCCCTGGCCCTGGTCCCCCCGGCATCGTGGACAGGAGTGTGGCAGACGACGGGGGCAGCGGCGGCGACAACAACGGCGCCGCAACTACGAGGACGACGACGAAGACGAGAGGACAGAGAGGAGACCCCCAGGAAACCCCGAGGGAAGCAATGAGCCCCACGGCCACGACGGCGTCCTTCCGCCCATCTCAACGCACCCATCACACGGATTGTGCGCCAGTAGGACGCGGTTTCACGTGCCCCGTTGTGGGAGGATTCGCATAACATCACCTCCCCCCAGGGCGATTGGGTTTCGCCGCCCTCCCGCCCATGGCGGTACACCCCTGACCTCGACCGTGAGTTCAGGGTGTCTTGGTTGCTTCCTGGCGCCCCGCAGCATGTTTCTGTGGGGCCTCTGGGAGCCCCGAGATGCATCTTGCAGGACGTAGACGCGAGACCTCCCATCAGCTTACGGGGGCCTACTGGGACGCCTCATGGGCGCCTTTTGGAAGCATCGTGAGAGTCTCTGGGACCTTTTCGGGCATTCCTTGGTAGTCCTTTGGGGCGTTTTCGGGCCCGTCTGTGGGCCCTGCTCGGCCTTCCCGAGTCCCTCTTGGCCCGTCATGGGGGGCTGAGGCCGTCTTGGGGTCCTCTTGGGGCCCTCTCCGACCGTGTAAGGGATCCTCTGGTGGGGGGTTCCTGGGGACTCTCTTGGGCCGTCTTGGAGATCTCTTGTGCTGCTCGAAGCTCTCTTGAGGCCGTCTTGGGGCCCTCTTAGGGGCCTCTCGAAAGAAAATCAAAGACGTTAGCCTCTTCGGGCCTTCCTGGAGGCCTCCTTGGAGGCCTCCTGGGCCGTCCTGGGCCATCTTAAGGCCATTTTGGGTCGCCCTGGTGGGCTCAGGGCCCGTCTGACGTCGACTTCCCCCAAAGCCACTGGGATGCCCCAGGCCGTCTTGGAAGCCATTTTGAGCGTCTTGGAGGCCTCTTGGGCTGGGGCCCAAGAGGCCTCCAAGACGCTCTGGGGGGCCTCTTTGGCCGTTCTGCAGCCATCCTGGAGGCCTCTCGGGCGATCTTGAGGCGATCTTTGGGGGCCCGACTTCCCGAATGGCTCCCTGGATGCGGGATCCGACGGCCCCATCCCTCACCAGGCCAACGGGGGCGACGGCGCCCACTGCGAGCAGCTCGTCGGGGCTCTCCACGGGGCGCGCGCCGCCCGCGCAGAACGCACGGCGGCGCGGTCGCAGAGCGTGCCAGAGGCATTGCAGCAGCGAGGCGGGGCTGGCGGCCTCGCCAGGCCCCGCTGGCGCGATCCAGCGGAGCCGCGACAAGGTGATCTGAAACACGTCGTCGTTAGGCAGCCAGCGGACGACGGCCAGTGGCTCGCCGGCCACCTCCAAGCGCCACCCGAGCGCGTCGCTCGCCGCGTCGACTCTGCAGACAGAGGGTCGGACGGACAGCTGCAGGGGCGCGCCCAGAGAGGCGGCGCTGACGCTGGAGAAGGGAGCAGCAACTCAGCCAACAAAACGTCCGCCGCGGTGGGTGAAGAAGCACCAGCATCCTCGCCGACGGCGCGCCCTTCTCCCCGCGGCGCCGTCACCGCATCGCCGTAGTCGAGCATGCAAGGCGGCGAGGGAGGCGCTCTCGCAGGCTCCAGTCTCGACGAAGCCACCACGTCGAGCGGAGGGGGACACGGCCGAGAACGCCAGGCGGCGGCCGCGGCGGCGGCGCTCGCTGGCCCCCCCCTGGCTCTCGCGCCTCGACGAGCCGCTTTGGAATCGGAGGTTCGCGCATTGCTAAGCCTATCTCCCCCACCGCTCGACTCGCAGCCCCTGGCTGGCGCCCGCGCGGCCCCGCGCCCCGCCGAAAGCGGCGCGCCGAGCGGGAGAGCCGACATGAATTAAGCTGGCGACTGGGCACCGGAGCTGCTGCAGGGCCAGAGCCACCGCTGACCCCGCCCGCGAAGTCCTAGAGCGCAACTGAGACCACGCGGCGGAGAGCCCGCCCCGAGCTTGGCCCGCGGCCGCAGCGCCATGCCCGGGACAGCAGGGGCCCCCGATGCTGGACGGAACATGGGACGGATGGCCAGGTCAGCCGCGGCGCGCACGCTCGCGGAAGGCCCAGGGGGCGCCCCGGGCGCGGCCCCAGGAGGCGGACGCGGAGGCGCGCGGGGCCCCGAAGGTCCGCCGCCGCACCCGCTGACCGCAACGGCGCTGGCAAACCTGCGCTGGCACGCCGCGCGCCGGGCGCAACGACCGAGCGGAGGGGGGGGCGCGCTCCGGAGGCGCCGGGCGCGCGGCCTGCCCCTTCCGCTGGGAGGCCCGCTCGCGGGCGCGGCGGCGCCGGCCCGCGCCGGAAGCCGCACCCGACGCGTGGCCCCCGCGGCTGGGGCGGTCCTCCACCGCCTCCCGGCCCAGGCCCTGGCGCACACGCGCCCGCCGCTGGTCCCGCCGCGAGAAGCTGGTAGCGGGGTCGTCGCTACCCTGCCTCTCGCGCTCGCGGAGGTCCGCTGCCTCCACGTCGGCCAGCCGGCGACTGGGGCCCGACGCAGGCGCATCGGAGCCGGCGCGCGCGGCGCGGTCCGCGAGACCCGCGCGGCGCGATCGCGGCCGATCTGGACTGGCGCCGCGCGCCTCAGCCCGCGCGCTTCGCGCACTGCAGCCTCTGTCAGCCCCCGCATCGCCACGCGATCGGCGATGCTGCTGGCCGGGGCGACCCGCGAGGCAACGCGGGGGGTCTCGCCCCGCGGGCGGCGGAGAGTGCATGGCAGCCGACCACCACGGCTCGCGCCGTGCGGATTGCGCCCAGCTCCACGCGCCTTCGCTCGGCGACCTGCACGAGCTCCGCGGGGCCGGCAGCGGCCAACGCAGAGGCCGCGGTGCCAACGCCTCGAGCGAGGTCCTGCGAGTCAGAAAGGGCCCGACGCAGGCGAAGCTCATCCTCGGCCGCGAGCACGCGGGAGGTCACCGCCTCGTCGAGGGCCGTCAGCACGTAGGCGCGGCTGGCGGTCGCCCCACTGGCCCCCCTGCCTCGAGCCTTGGCCCAGCGCTCGCGCGGCCGCTCGTGGCGCTGGGGGCCGAGGCGCTGGGCTCTGCGGTCGCCGAGCAAGCCTGCGCCAACTTGGACTCGGCGTCGCAGAGGGCCCGCCAGCGGCTCGCCCGCTCCCCCGCCGGCTCCGAGGCCTCACCCCCGACACGGCGCCGGGGCCCGAAGGTCGGGAAGGCCCCGACTAGGGCGCGGGAGAGGCTTCAGGGGCAGCCCCCAACCTCTCGCCCCCATCGGAGCAGTTGCCAGCAGGGCCGCGCCGACCGAACAGCGCGTTGCGCGGCCCACGCGAAAGCGCGGCAGCGGCCGAAGCAGCCCAGCCGCGGGGGGGCCTCAGGAGTCGAGGACAGATCCGGCTCCGCGGGGTCCTGAGCAGGGGCGGCCATCCCCGCGCCCGAGGGGGAGGGGGGGGGGGGGGGGGGGCGGGCCCTGGGGGGGCCCTGCCCTCAGGCCTCTGAGCCAGACACAACGCGACCAGCCGACCCCACAAGAAAGCGGGGTAAGATGCGCGGGAATCCGCCAGGGCCACACAGTCAAACCTGGAGAAGTCGCCTGACTCTGCTTCGATGAGCCACGCGGGGGTGCCCCGAGAGGGCGGCCGCAACGCGCGGCTACGAGTCGGGTCGTCAGTCCTGTGCACATCAGTTGGCACGCACAGGCTCCAAGATAGAGGCCTCCCCCGATGATGCAGGGTAACATTATGCTGAAGACATGGGAGTGCCTGGGGGAGCTGCTCCGGCCGCGAGCGGTGGCGCCCAGGGCAACTTCAGAGTCCAACAACAACGGAATCCGCATATCGGGGTACCTAATGCAACAGTGCTTGCAGAAGCTTTTGTAGCCTGTTGTCTCCAGGAATATGCATGTGGCGTGGCGTACGGAACTTCCATGTGTAGACCTATCGGAAACGCAGAGCTGGGTAAAAGCGCATCGATTCAGCGCGGGGCGACAGGTGGGCCCAGCGAGGGGGGACCAAATTCTGCGCGCAGCAGGGCGAGCTCAGGCCCCAGCGAAACCCCGCGGCTCGGTGCAGCAAGCAGTCGGCGATCGCGCATCGCAGTGCGCCAACCGCCGCGCTCGGACCTGCGCCGCAGCTCGACCAGAAGGCAAAGGCTGACAGGCGCACTGACAACGCCGCCCCAGACGAGGGAAGCGACCGCACCGAGGACCTCAGGGGCATAGCCCGCGCGGAATTCGGCTGTGGCCGCGAAGGCCAGAAACGTGCAAGCGAGGAGCTCGTCACGCACGGAGATGGGAAACCGATACTCCGCGTCGGTTCCTATCTCGAGGGTAGATAGGCATGCGCACGCGCGGGGAAACACCGACAAACGAGGCCGGCAACACAAGAACACCTGCACCCTGCACCCCACAAGCGACGCCATCACGGCGCGCGTCGACCGTCCGAGGCACAATTGGATAAGCGCGAGCCTGCACAGGGCCACCG